GCCAGCTGTAATTGACCACCTGAGAAGATGGAGTGCCCTTTGCCACGTGAGTGTCACTGTCACTCCGCCGGCACTCGCATATTTGTTATCCAGATATTAATGTTTCGATGTGATCTCAATGGCAGATTGTCGGTTTTAGCATTAATATGGTGCATTTTGCTAATGAATGTGCGTCCCATTTTAAAACGTTTGTGTAGATCTAAAAATGTTCAATCATTTATTTACCATCTTTTATGAAGTGCCAGACTGGTCTTGCGTCACCCGGGTTTCATCCATAAAACATCCAACAGTTAGACTAAACATTCAATTGCAAAATTAGAGTTCGGGAGATGAGAAAATCTTGTAATTTTAGGACTATATATGGACTGTCCAGATGTGGGTAGGACTGACGATTTTATTTAAAAACGAACTCTGTCGAGTGAATATGAATATAACACACACACACACAAATATATATATATATATATATATATATATATATATATATATATATATATATATATATATATATTCATATATATATATATATATATATATATATATATATATATATATATATATATATATATATATATATATATATATATATATATATTCATATATATATATATATATATATATATATATATATATATATATATATATATATATATATATATATATATATATATGTGTGTGTGTGTGTGTGTGTGTGTGTGTGTGTGTGTGTGTATACACGTATACATACATACATATATATATATATATATATATATATATATATATATATATATATATATATATATATATATATATATGTGTGTGTGTGTGTGTGTGTGTGTGTGTGTGTGTGTGTGTGTGTGTGTGTGCATATATATGTGTGTGTGTGTGTGTGTGTGCATATATATGTGTGTGTGTGTGTGTATGTGTATGTCATTGTTATTTTTGTTTTGCATCTATGTTTACACATATCCCTCTCTCGTTCCTTCCTCGTTCAGAATAGCCACCAACAACCTAATCGACTCCTGCTGACTTCCAGCCGGCGAGCGTCGGGACTCCAATCTCGCATCAGGACCTTACTCCTTCCTAAGCCTTTCCTGCTTCCCTTCCGGCCCGGCTGCGAATCCCCGGGCGGCGGGCGGCCTGACTCTGCCTCCCGCGCTGACCGATCTCTCTGGGGACAATGCTCAGGCGGCGCAGGCAGACGGAAGCGTTTATCTGGATCTTTGTAGAGACGCTGCTCGTTTCGGGGGGAATTCGGGGGCGGAATGGGTCGCTTGGATCGCGGTTTGTGTGCGTGCTTTTGCGGGGCCTCAAGCCGGAAGAGTGGTCAGGGGAGAGGTCTTGGCGTGCGTGTGTGTGATTGTTTTTATGTGCCTATGCATATGTGTGTGCACATGCTTGTGTGTGTGTGTGTGTGTGTGTGTGTGTGTGTGTGTGTGTGTGTGTGTGTGTGTGTGTGTGTGTGTGTGTGTGTGTGTGTGTGTGTGTGTGTGCGTGTGTGTGTGTGTGTTTGTTTGTCCTTGCGTGCATAAACGTGCGCTCCTCAGCATCACCAGGCTAATTGTCCCCCCCACACACACACACACATACACACTCGCGTGACCGCCGCCACAGAGACGGACTCCCAAAATACTCCCACCACGACATGTCTCGCTCATGTTCCGTCTCCTCGCCCATCCCTCACCTCGCGGCCAGCCACTCACACCAACTTGAAGGTACAGTTTATAGAGCCCCTTAAACATCTAAGTTTACGCCTAAGCTTTTGATCTCCCGTCCCCTCGCCCCGGCTTGGCATGGGCATCTCTGCGCTTCTCGCCGCACTCAACGCGTCATAATCAGATGCAGCATCCTTGCAACGATCCATTATCTGCAGACGCCCCTCCTTTGCGTCTCGGCCGAAGCACGAAGACGCCCCCCGATTGTGCAAGGTTGTAGCTTTTAATGCCCGCCCGAGACTCTTTACGCACAGGGAGGCAATGCTGTTTGCGTGATCAGCGAACGAACATGAAATTAATGACAACGCTCTCGCAGATTATATTACTGCATCAAACCCGGATATTAGGCGCTGGTGGGAAATTATTTGACTCGGATTATGTTACGACGTGAACTTACAGCGAGATGGAGCAGAGGGGAGGGGAGGGGAGGGGAGAGAAAGGGGAAGAAGGAGAGGGGAGGAAAGGGATGATGAGGGGAGGGGAGAGAAGGGGGAAGGGAGAGAAGGGGGAGGGAAGGAGAGAGGAGGAAAGGGGTGATGAGGAGAGGGGAAGGGAGAAAAGGAGGAGGGGAGGGAAGGAGAGGAGGGGAGGGGAGAGAAGGGGAAGGAGGGGTGATGAGGGGGAAAGGGAGAGAAGGGGGAGGGAAGGAGAGAGGAGGAAAGGGGTGATGAGGGGAGGGGTAGGGAGAAAAGGGGGTGGGGAGGGGAGGAGAGGGGTGAGGAGAGGAAAGGGGGAGGAGAGGCGAGTGGGGGGAAGAGATAGAGGAAAGGAGAGAGGAACAGAGGAAAGAGCAGAGGAAAGGA